GGGCGCTGTTTTAATAATAATAATAACACATATATTTCTCATGCTGTGAGAAACAGTATTTATAGCGGTACAGATCAATTTGAACAAAAGCGTCCATGCTCTTGCATGGGCGACCTGTATAAGTGGAACTTTGGGGTATGCGTTTCATGTAGTAATGTTCTGGTGGATGGGTGAGACAAAAGTCTAGTTTTGAAAATATCTGTTTTTGGGCCCCCTTGAAATAACTCATAAAAGGACTTTTCCCATGTGAATATATCGATTATGGCATTCAGATCAAGGTAACTGGAGAGTCTGCTTCTAGAGGTTGCCACATTGTCTCATGACCTGAGTGTTTTGGTAGTTTGTTCCACAGATAGTTATATCTGACCAGGAAGAAATTAGAGCGAATGTTCCTTCTGGCATTAGGATATTCAGTGTAAAATCTTGATTGCGAAGCGATCGAGTTGAGCTATGTTGTAGCTCGAGTGCAAGTAGGTCGGAATAGGTCATTTTGTGTAGCAGCTTGAAAAGCAGCAACAAGTTGTGCTTCAGTCGTCGAATCCAAAGTGGTTCGAGATGAAGTTCATTGCAACGTTTCGATAACTCATAGCAGAGTGCTTACGAATCAGATGTCTAGTAAAGCATCTCTGCAAGTGTTCCACAGTAATGCTGCCACTCTTTCTAATATCGCCATGTATTATGCTGTAGTATTCGAAGATGGGGTGAGTGAGTAGCTTGAAAAGCTCTAGGATGGGTTGTGTGGATTTTATTTGATATATTGAACATAAATTGTCTGGCACGTGCTACTTGGTACTGGGCCTGTTCGGAGAAATTGAAGGTGGACGAGTACATACTTACAAGATCACGCGTGGACAGCTGTGTTTAAAGTGATAGATCCTTGGGGGATGGAGAATCCGTAAGATATGATGCTTGATTTCTTAGCCGAGAGGTTCATCACCCATGTGCAGCAGCAGGACTCAAGGGAATGCAGGTCATCTTGAATGAGTAGTAGCGTTCCGTGAAGCTTGTCACGCCAAAGTTTGGGGACGACCTTGATACCGTCAGCAAATAAAAATGGCCTGTCATGTTTTACAGATGTCATGATGTCATTGATGTAAAGTAGAAAGTGTGAAGAACTGAGCACCCTCGCTTGAATGGCCCAAGTGGGATGGAGTGTGGAGAAGCGCGAGTCACCTAAGTGACTACCTGGGGACGACCTCCCAGGTATGATAATAGTCAACCCAGTAATGGGTATCGGATACCAAAGTTCTCCAACATCTCGGAATGTGCTTGAAATCGACTGCGATTTCAAGCTTTCAGAAGGTTTTGAATACGAATCGGTTTTGGTAAGGTTTAATTATGGCAACGTTTCGCCCTTGACACAAGAGCTTCTTCAGGCCAGGTGAATTGGTACACAATTGGCTTAGCTTTTTATGGAAACGTAAGGTGAAGGTTGCAAAAAATAACATGAACCACTGGATGATAGGGTTACAGGTCAATAGGTCAAGTGGCCATGCTAGTGAAACAACAAGCATCGAGCGTTTCTCATTGATCCACGTCACCGTTCACATGTGAGGCATTCCTTTCTTGCAGCTGGGGATTCACGCTCCGACCTGAGTTCATCCGCCAACACCTTTTCTGACTGACCGGATTAACACAACCCGCCACGCGTTCGATAACTCCACCCCGTCCGTTTTGTTCACACAGTTATTAGCCTTAGTAATCCCGATCGCCTCAGAAATGAACCTTTGGCTTGTTGCTGGAAATCACCACCTAAGTATCTTGACATTGTCCCAATCAATCGCGTGTTCTGCCTCTAGCGCATGTACGGCCACCGCTGAATCTTTAAGTAGGGCCCCGTAATCAGGCTCATTTCTCGGTGGACGCGAAACGTACCACTTGGGTTCTGCTATCTTCGGGGGTAGCTCTCTCGCTGTTTGACCTATATACACGTGTTTACAGTCTTTGCAATTGATTTCATAAACACAATTTGTCGTCCTATCCCTTGGAAGTGGATCCTTATTACTGAGGACAATAGCCTGGAGCAGCGAACGAAACTCACGGTAGACCAGATAATCGATGGAATTAAAGTATGCTTTAATATGTCATATATTACTTTCAAGTCGAGAATGTACTATCAGGAACAGGGACTTGCTATGGGGTCACCAATATCCCCCGTATTGGCAAATCTGTATATTGAAGACTTTGAGAGAAGGGCGCTGACAAACTCCAGTAGTTCGCCAAAGCTGGAGGCATAATAAATGAGGTTTCCATTGGTCTGGAAAGTGGCTGGATTCTAGCGATAGAGTAAACATACTCATCAGGTGCAATGGTATATCAGGCCCTCCTAGTTTAATGGTGGTTAGTGAAATGCCATCAGATCCCAGATTGGAAGATGGCCTGATTAATTTGATAAATTGATGGATAGCGTTGAGCGAGATACCTAGTCTGCTTAAGAGGTTTGTTTCTGTGAGTTCTGTGCACACGGGCACCGGGTCAGCTTCGAGACTTAAGGAAGTGGTAAAATAGTCACTGAATGCTTCACAGATTGCAGCTGCATCGTGACGTAAGTGGTCCTCACTGTCAACAACTTCAGTAGTCATATGTGTGCGGTCACTGATTCTACGACGCAGTATTTCGACAAGCTCCCTAGCTTTGTAGCTTGCTTGTAGGGCTACGTGTTCTTCATTTCTTCGCCGTGTCAACTGCGTATGTTTGACTCCGGTGGTATATCCATGCATTTTTAAGATAAGTGAAAAGTCATGGGTCTTCCTGCATGTTGTAGCTAATTTTCTGGTTTTCTGGCTAATTGCGAAGATGGGAAATTAGTTAGCATGAGCGATAGAAACAAATAGACGCAGACTATGGAGTATGCAGGAAGGGCCGATATAAAAAGTGTTGCCGATAACACGAAAGCTTCTAAACAGAATTAAAAAGTATCCAAGGGAGTGTAATGAAAAAATAAATAAGTAATAATGTGTCAGCCGCTCGCCGTAACGGCGCTTCGCTGCCGTTCGAGCAGCACCAGTCGTACGCGGGCTGAGTATACCGCAGGGACGTCCACCCCTACGCGGATTCCACCCTGCGCCGCAAGGTTAGGAGACAAGCTCGTTACCACTAGGCTACGGGCCGACCCAAGGGAGTGTAGAGTCTACAATACCTCTAGTTTCAAGTACCGTCTGGATTACTTCTCCTTGTAGAGGACGCAGTGACGCTATTCTTATCCAAGTTCCCAATCTCCAGCTGATAACTCGCTTTGTGTGCTTCAGACAGTCACATTTTTCAACATTAAACGTTATTAATTTATTTCACTAGCGAACACTTTAGATTTCAACGCCACAGCAATTATCTTCATCAGACTAGTATCCTGCTTAGTTGTTCTCTCTCGCGGCTAACATGTTGCAAAGTTAGGTTGTAGTACAAATCGAATACCCCTCCGTTTTCTGTTTAGGCTATGCGCAAGGTTCAGGTTTTACACACTTTAGTGAACACTATATCCATTTCGTATAGCGTGACTAGATTTAGTACGGTTATTGTTACAAACGCTAGTTAGCATTATGCCAAATTTCTTTAGGCCATTTAATCACGTCATCTAGTGGCAACCCAACGCGGTTCCTCTCGGTGGGACGCAGCGTTGGTAGGCAAAGCAAGATGAGGTAGTAGGTGGAAAAATAAGAGACAGTACAAATTCAACAGACAGGTATTTTGTTGCTAAACGCGAACATAAGTAGTACTCATTCGGTACTCGCGTCAAGCATGATCGTTGATCAAACAATCCACGCTTCTCGCAGTGCGTTTGGCAGAGAATAACACGGTGGCACGCATGTAAGGGCTTGTTGCAAGTACCGGAGAACTCACCTACACGCCATGGAAGGCGTATGTCCCCGCAGGTTTGTTTCCCGGCATTGGGCACCGAGATCAGTAAAGAGATCACAGTTGGTGACAGACGAAGTGTAAACGGTGTGCGCAACCCATTGAGGCGGTGCTATTCGTTACACAAATGTGAGCAAATAATGATACGTCCTTTATAAAAGTTGTGTATAGAATTCAGTAAGCTGTGATGAGATAGCGACGGGGAAGTGTCGCGTGCGGGGCTACTAAGCGCTCCGTATGCTTTTCCAAATTCAGCTATCGCGCACACAGCAAACTTCCTTATTTGGCTGCATAGAATAAAAACTCATCTCGTATAATTGTCCCAAATATTCAGTAATCTCAAATTCAAGGCAAATCGATCTATGCAATTAGATGGAGACGCTTGTTATCCGCTGCGTATAGGACCTTATTCGATCATCATACGGAAAGCTCGGACCTACGTTGGCTGTATGTTCTAGCTTCATAGATACATTTACGCAAGGGACAGTGGGAGCAGGCGGCGTTCCCTTAGACAAATTAGCTAGCATCACCACTGTAGTTAGAATAGATGAACAGCTGCACGCCTTATAATGAGCTGTGGAAATATGGATTTGACAGAGGCTAGGGACCCACTTTTGCAAACATACTATGTATCAGTTAACACGATTATCCACTCTACTTTGTCCAAATTTGTTTACTAAAGCCCTATAAAATCCACGGAGAAAACTATGTCAAATGTTGCAACCTCTGGTATTATAGAAAGGGTATCAGTTTAGCTGTTTTCTTAATTATGTAGAGAGGGAGTTCGAGTAATCAAACAAGTTAATATGCAGTTGGGTTGGAAAGACTAGAAGCCAGTAGAAAACAAACGCGTTCGCAGACATAGTGATTAGGCCCCGGGGATGTTGCAGGGGGCGTGCAGTGATAGTAGCACTCTGCTTGTGACAGGTGAATACACAATTGTTCACAAATGAAACACGTGGTTATCTTGACAATGAAAAACAGGTGGCTAACAGGAAAACTCCTGGAGGTGGCGCGGCTTGTAAGACTCCTGATGTCAGACAAATGAAGCAACACATAATGGCAAAAGACGTCACGTGAGGTGAACAACGGGAAGCGGCAAGCTATTAAACGGAACGTTACATGCACAAATACACATGGAAACTCACGAATAACAGTCGAAATCGCCCGCGGCAGCCGCAGCCAACAGCTGCTCAGTGGCGCGGATAACATCTTGCTTCTTGCCTATAGGGAAGAGGACAATAAGAAACTAACATTCAAGGTGGAAGGAGACAAACGAGCCGTAGAGGGAGTGTGAAAATTAGCAAAATAAGCTGTTTAGTGCACTTCAGTAGCTTGAAATCCGTTCGGTGTTCATAAGAACGTCTTACTACAGGACTGACTGTTATTGGACAGTCAGAGCAGACTACTACTTACAGACGGACAATGCCAAACCTATGAATGGCTGCGTAAAATCAAGCAGACGCGTGAGGCAGCCGGTCATTCCCATTGGATGGAAAATGACTGAGAGGAGAAACGAATTCACAAGTAATCATGAGCGAAGGAAATAGAGAGTATAACCAGATGCAGACAAAATTAGAGCGCGGCCCAATGCATGGCGATAAATGATCAGTTTCATGCAAACGTCATATAATGTCATGCGGAAGAGTATTAGTGGGAAGCAGGGATAGAGGCTCGAAACCACAGGCGCGACAGATTTGAAAACTATTCAACCTCGGGAATGAGGTTGGAAACAAGAAAGACTCCGTGACTAAATCTCAACGTGGCGAGGTGATTTTCCTACCTCCATGAGTTACGCTATGGCACTTTCCAATTGTCTTCAGAGCCATTCATACCAAACAGATCAATAGTCAAGGTCAGCATCCTATTCGGAGGTTAGGGAGAGGCCCATAATGCCCTTTCTTCCAAAATTAACCATGGGGGGAAATAGATGACGGTTACTAAGCTCAAGCAAGATTGATGAGGAGCAACAGCGCCAAGCATTGTTTTTGACGATGGAAGAGCATTGCTTGATGCTCCGCCCACCTCAAGCAAGGTAGCCCTTTGTCAAATGGGTGTGAACCCGCCAACTTCCGCCTGTGGTTGGACAAGATGCGTAACATACTAAAATCAAAAACGTTGCGTGTGACAAACTACAGGCAGATCCCAATGAGTCCCTGCGATCACACTCCTCGATTACACTTGCTCCAGTCTTCATCGTAAGTCAGACGATTGGATCAAAACCTCATGACGGATACCTTCGAGTAAACCACTACGTAACCCACTGCTTTGCGAGTCAGACTGTTGAGTCGGAAGATAGAAGCAGGACACCTCCAGCGGAATTTCTCTCTCGGTACGAGGAGCCGGCAAACACCACCTGCGCTGTGGACCTCTTGAGCAATAGTATTCCTTCTGTGTGCGTTTCGTTGCTACAGTAACTCGTTTCTTTCCCGGATCTTTAACAAGACTGCCACTGGCTTCGCAAATGATTCAAGCAATGCACGTAACACGTTCTTCAAAGCAAAGAAGACATTGCACGTTGGTTGTTGAATATTATAATACAAAATACGAATGATGCACATCAATTCAAGAATGTTGTCAAGCTAAATTAAATAAATGCCTGGGTTCCAACTATGCTCCACGGCCCGGATGCCTGGCGTCCACTTTTCTCGCTTCAGAAGAACCCGACTTCGAAAATTCTCACTCGTAGCCAGAAATTGCAGTCCGCAATTCAGCAATACCAGGAAGAACTGATCCACCAGTTGTCAATGGCAACGTTGATTAGCCAAATGCTGTCCGAAGTGTACCATAGAGAATGCTTTTCAAGCCTGATGTCCATCAAACTTGAGACGTCCTAACTTCGAATAGATTCCTGAGAAATCGATTCGTAAATAGGTTACAATGGGTACTAAGATCCACGCGTCCGTGACACCTCGAGACGATTTACTCGGAGTTTTAGAATCGGATGGGAACGTAGGTGGGTGGCAAAATCTCGTGAGTAAACTCAGTGAAAAAGCCGAGTACCGTTCCAACACATCCCGAACTTGGGTCTGAGGAAACCTTCAGTTAGTGACAACTGGTTCACGCTCAACCTCCTCGACTAGTCCGGTGGGCGGAAAATTTGAAGAGCAGTTCAACAAGTGTTCCGCGATACCCCCGCTTGCTGATATATCTGAATCCAAGTGAGAAGTTCACGTCACATTTCCCACTTCAGAAGAGATTCTTTAAGAGCTTGCTGTGTTAAGGCGAAACAAGGCTCCTGGACCGGAAGACTTTCCATCTTTGCAGAAAGATAGAGGTGCCTTTTTGTTGTTTCTACTTAACAAGATTTGGGACACTGAGGAATCTCCCCTATACTAACGACTGTCCAATGTTGTTCGCAACTTTAAAAAGGGTTAAAGGACTATGTGCGATAATTATCGCTATTTTTAATATCTCTGAACTTCTCACGAATGACATTCTGGGACAATTCACTGGTCATCTTGAGGGCCGCATCATAAAAGCTGGTTTCTACCTTGGTCGTGGTCGCATCAATCACATATTTACTCTTCGTCAAGTGTTAGAGCAGACACATTTACAGACGAACGACTATGGCGGTTTTCCTTGACTTAAATCGGCCTTCAACTCTGCTGACCGTGCCGGCTTGTTGTACCGCATAAATGGTGAAGCGCACGCTAGGGAAATTCTTCCATTTTGTAGTCTCTTTACCACGACTCCTGGAGTCTGGTAAGGGTTTACGAGAAGCCGTTTCCTAAATTCTTTAAGACAAGTGGGATTTATCAGGCTAATCCTTTAGCTACTTTGCCTTCGACTTTGTGATCGAAGTGATCACAAATGACTCCATTCGTTCAGACGTTCCGAAGAATAAGTGCTGCTAGATGACCCACTGAAAAACATCGAGTATGCAAACGAAATGGCACTTCATGAGTAGAGTGCAGGGCTGTGCAAGTGTTGTTGAATTAACTGACGCGTCGTGCTGCACGCTTCGGCATGTGCTTTGCAACCTCAAAGTGTAAAAAGTACTGTTACAGAACTGGACCGATACGCCGTAGGTTTTAGCTATCAGTGAACAGCCGCTGCAAGTAGCCGTGTGACCCTTGGAGGTCACATCGCAGGTAACTTCAATTAACAGTCAAGTGCGGGTGATCTCCAGAGGCCACATTATAGATAAAGACGGTGGGATATCAGCGTGTCCGTGAAAGGTGGAGTGTATAACGTTGTGATAAAGCCGGTGTTACTGTAGGGATCAGAGGCCTAGACACTTCGCAGTGAAGACATTAAACGAGTGACTATGTTTGACCACGAGTGGGAACATCGGGTGAGCCGTGCTGATGTCTGCTAGTTGTTTTTTTGGCAGTAAGCGTTTTGGTGGTTCGGTGTTGCTCCTCCCAACCTTGACACCCCATAAGCGGTTTCGTCCTCCTTTGGACTCATCAGATGGAGATAGTCTGAGCTGGGGTGGACTTCGAAGCGTAGGGTTCAAAGTTTGACGCCTTGACCACTATGGCTCTAAGATCCGCGAGCAACGCTTGGCACAGCGGTAAAGAGTTCCAAGTGGCATTTGGTGTACCCGCTGGGTGGTTGGATTGCGACTCACAATCTCTATTCAGACCTCGGTCCTCTTTGAAGTATAACTCGGTCATTACGATCACAAGGACCGTTCGGTGTTGCTCCTCCCAACGTTGACACTCCATAACCGGTTTCGTTCTCCTTTGGACTCATCAGATGGAGATAGCCTTTTGGTGCCTCATTCGAGTACTTGCTGAAGCTCAGCAGCTTACGTTGGCTAGGTCATGTCCTCCGTATGCCAGTCGACCGGCTCTCTCAACGTGCATATCACGTCATCAGTGCGTCACGTTGGGCGAAGCCGCGGGGTAAACAGTCCATAATGTGACATAAAGGCATGGGAGAAATTGACTGAAAGACATGATCAAGCTAGCGTGTGCTGTCTTCGCCTCTGCATAGTCCACCTCAGAGAGCGCAGACCCTATCGGACATGACGCAGTCACGCAGCCAGTGGCGATCCTCTAGTCGATTAGTTTCATCCGGCGCGTAATATTGCACTGCGATTAGGATTAGTAAATCCTTACTCCACCCTCTTTATGTTCCGTTTGCATGCTATCGCTTCTTCTCAGTAACGCTAGTTATGTTTATCCTGATGATGTGACCCGTGGCAACTGCATCGACAGCACTTCGGTGCCAAGAACATAGGTGCTTAACTGAACGGAACCTATGGTCGTTAGTGTGACAAGTCAATTCGACTCAATTACATAACCATGATTTTAGTGTCGAAGAGCAGTGGATTCAGTTACCAAAACTCGCGTCGAGAAGAAGCCACAATAAATAACAAGGATGAAAAAATGAGGCGGAACGCAAAGATAACACACACAGAGGACACTGACAAACGGAATGGTTAACGGTCAGAAACCACAATATGAGTGGGACAGTGACATCCACTTAGTGACTGCGTCGTATCCGTCACATTATATTCAACTAATGATGGCCGGTCCCAAGGACTACACATATAAGAAAGTGTAGCCGTTCGTTGCGTTGAGCCACACTTCTTTGCCATCTTGACAGGTCAATCCTAGGGGTTCGCCCAAATGGGCACAGCGTATCGGACAAGAAAAATACGCCGATGCAGCCGACTTGCAGCCAAGTGGGGCACGTGATCAAGACAGTAGGAGTGACTCGAGATTGCTAAACATATGAGGTACCGGAGAACCTGTTCTAAACACCAGAAGACGAATTTCATCATATTACCTACAGAGTTCTTCCATAAAAGCATCAGTGCGTCAGTATCGATGATCAAACACGGTCAGTCTCCTAATGTCCTCGGATTCATGTGTCTGCTCTAAAAATAGTAAAAGTAATGGGTCTGAATGAATAACAAACCAAGGGGGAAATTTTAGATTACAGCAATTACAAAAGAAGTATCAGCAATATGCCAGATTGCCGTCTCGGCGCATGGTTAACACGTGACCACCGACAGGCGTTTACGGGGCTAGGGATACTAGTGCGATATCAGTCGCGCCTGGGTATCCTCAAACGGGCGATGCCTCCTGGACAACTTGGTCACCAGTCAGCAAGTGTTAGAAATAAAGGAAAAATGGAAGAGCCCCGTTGACATTGTCACATTCCACAGGGTAAGTAACCAACGGTGCGACCGATTCCGAGAACCTCACCTTAGAATACGACGCGACTGAGGTGTGTCATTAACGGCGGCTTGTTGGATAAACAAGAAGGAAGCGTGTACAGCAAGTGGCTTAGAAACTCCGCAGAAAGATACAGATTATCTTCGTGGATCAATTCTAAGAGGTCGGAGGACAAAATAATCAGCAAAACGTCATCGGAAAGTCAAGTATACTTGGGTACCTGTTTTCTTGTTTTCGTCTATCGGTTTCGCAGGTAGAAAGGACAGATATAAACAGCCCGTTAGCTGGAATACTGTGGGAGAGCCAAAACGTATACAGAAGTGGTGATTCTAAACCGGGGTGCATGGATTGCAAGCCAAAGGCCTAAATCAATGTACTACGGACCCCACCTCCAGCAAACAACCGTAGATCCCTTTTCAAACGACAGTAGTTGCGCTTTTCCATGCCTTTTCGCGCGTAATTTTCTCGATTCTGGTGTTTTCTTCATCCCGCTCGACAGTTGTCAATTAGGAACATCAACAGAGGCGCAAGAAAAGGCAACGAGATCCGCTGTATTTCGGTACTTGGGTAATAGCACACTAATTGAGATGAACTGAACCGGTCGCAGTACATGCAATCCGTAAAGAAGCGAGTGACAGCAAGCACGCCACTGACGCCGACTGTGTACTATGTCGCAAACCAAGCACGATGCGGGTGGCGTGCGTACGCGAACGTGACTTCTCTGTCACTTAGACCAAAGAAATGACGACCCGCAGTGGTCAGACAGTAGTTTGCCAAGTGCAGAGGCAAGGTAGAACGGATGTCTCAATAGAATGGCGAAAAGTGACATTAACAAACAAAAAGGCTAATCTAGCATGGAAAGGTGCCGAGCGAATAGCGGGGAATCACATATAAGAAGGAGATAGGTTGACAACGCCATGCCAGATAATGTGATCAAACTAAAGAGCTTCACTGGGGTAGAAGAAGGCACTTCACTGCCACGCAACCACCCCCCAGCGGTTGTATGCAGACGGTAGTTCGAATCGGTGATTCGTAGAGTACATACCAGACGCCTGAAATACCCGACCACCGAAGAACGAGGGAAGCATGCATCAGCAGGATACAGGTCTAGGTCTTCGGAATCCTCGCCGCAATCATCCGGAAAACTTGGGGTTTCGTCTACCTAAGAAATACAGTGCGACAACACAAGTGTGGAACGAGACGCTATTTACACCGTAGCTTAGAGGTATGGACAGATGCCATAACTACACATGCTAAGAAAGATTTTCGGTCGTTGCAGACGCAAGGGCAAAACAAATCCTACTCGTGTACCAGAGACGAGCAGGGACCAAAATGAACAAGTGCCACATTGCAAAAAGTGTATGAACACGTGCAACCTAGACGGTGTGTAGCGGGTGCAGCGCATGCGAATGCAAGGGGACAACTGAAAAAGGGAGCATCTCGCGGTGTGAGCGAGAGTATATGTACAAGATGACCAGTTGCGTCCCAAGATGCGCAGCATACAGAGTGACACACACCCAAACCCGCCTACAGCAAGGAAGGTAATGAGCAACTTACTTTCAACCGAAGAGTCGCACTTCACAACAGTACCAGATGCGTACAATCCTTCACGGTGAGCAACGAAAAAGCGTACAACTACTGCTTCACATCAAGTATTAGGTGTATGTATGGAACAATGCGTTGATTTGTAAATAAAAAAGTATCCAACGTTTAAATGTGATACAATTACTCTCAAATAACAAATGAGAAAAAGGAGAACAAACGTGCAACAGAGTCTGTGTACATCAACGTTCTAGTACACGCCAGCGTAGCCGAGGAAGACACATGTCGGAACGAGTGTGCGGACGATGCTAAACGCGTTCAGCGCGAACAAGGAAAACGATGATTGTCGATTTAGGCCGTGTAGTTCGGAGAAATCATAATATGAGGAGAAGAGGAGATGCTACGGACATGCTTCAGTAGCATTAAATTGTACAGGTTCCGATCGACAGAGCGAATAGAGCGTAGTTGTGGTTTTCAGCAGCACATCGGTACATTGTACCTGTGTTCTCAGTTATGCGACCCCGCACGTAGGTAAGCAGGCTGGGTTAATGACGGTGCAGTCAAATCCACGCAGGAGCGGGGACCAGATTTCAGGAAGTGCAGGTCGTAAGTCAAACGCCAAAACCATTACACCAATGATCTGCAATGCCATTCGCGGTTAAAGACTCAGTTAACTAGTAGGTATTAAAAGCGAACAGAACACCAGATAAAAGACAAGTAGACCGAAAGTGGGGAAGACATCAGCAGTACGCCGCTAAGCCACCATCACAGTCGTGCGAGGGTTGGGTGGTATACCGCAACGTCGGCCGCACCTAGGCAGATTCACGAAGCGGTGACCTCTGGATTAAAACGCAGACGCGTAATCCTTTGGGCCCCCGACTGATGGGGGCGGTCAGTGCCTGCTAACCAGCGCATTCTTGATCAGAGACATCAGTAGCACACAGGTAGCACGTATCGAGGAAGCGCTGCCACGTGCTTATCAATAGTCGTATGCAAACTATGGATACGGCGAGGTGAGCCGCGCAGGCGAGATGGATGTCTAAACCTCTCGGTCACCGGTCAGAATTCTTGACTACGCGGAGTGCTAATGACTTCTGTGCAGCGTTCACATACAGTTGCAAGACAGTGCTTGTCTTCGTTCAGACAGACGTCATTTTGCTCCAGTTGATCGAGTAGGTTTGTGACGTGGTCTTGGACGAAAGGCGCACCGGAGCTAATCTATTCAACTCTGAACGGCGCATACTACAGTAAGTAAGGGAAGTTTCCGCATGAAATCACCACATGGGAGCCCAATTAGCGGAGGAGAGAAGTGGTGGCAGCTATGTATAACCAGTATATTTCAAGTAACTGCATACTCTGCCAGGCACACCCGTAAGGAGAATACACACTAAACAGCGGCATACCAGGGACGTGCGCACCGGTGGTTCACTGACATCATACCACAACTGCACTCATAATGAAGGTGCTGTGGAAGGGAGAAATTGAGTACAATGTACGGTTTGAAACAGGTAGAGGAAAAATTAGATGGTTGTGAGTCTCACTGGTCCACGCCCGAAATTGACCCTGCCACACAGATAATCCAATAACACATATGTAAACATGGTACGCAGAGACAATCAGACATGGCGCAGCCGCATAAGCACTGGCGTTACTGCATTCGGTTTCCTTCATCTAACTGCTATTTTTCATCTCGATTAGTTTAACGCGTTTGCACTGTCTCCATTCTCTTTTCACTCAAGTTGCGTTTAATCGCATTCTCTTATTGTTGTGATTCATTGTTATTCCGGCGAAATGAGTGGTGGCAACACTGGATCGCAGTTGTCCAACCAAACTGTACCACATGGTAAAGATGCGACAGGAAAAAACGCCGCCCCTGTGCCGGTCGCGGGCTATGCTCACACATGTTGTAACCTATGTAGAGAGTTAAGCACACGAACCCTAATTAATGGAAAGGAATAAACTTGCTGCGTCCAAACAATGGATCAGAGATTCAGTTAATCATTTACCACACCCATCCACCCACCCAACCGAGAACCAGAACCTTATAAATTAAGGTGAACAGAGGATATCCACGTAGCATACGCTCGGATCGGATGGATCAGGCTAACGAGGTAATCGCGTGATTACAATTTAGCACCCGGCCGTGCATGTCATCGTTGTGGATAACGCCGAACTGTGTTTTCCGGGTAACGATTGTTGGAGCTGAAAAGACCAGAGTTGCGCTGGCCATAGCAGAGAACGGTCATCACTGCGGTCCTTACACGCGACCACCAATAAGGCCAGTAGAAGTCTAGGCACTAGGCACAAGCAACGTGTGAGCAGACAATCACAGCCTTTTGCCCATCACCGCTAACGTACCTGCCGGCGGAGATGAACCAGCGAGAAATCGTGTATGCACAAGCGGATGAATGCGAAAAGGAAAACAAAGGAATCAGCAGTTCACCAGTAGGTCACGCGGACGCTGCGCTGCTAGGCGACCACAACGCGGGCTGTGGGTGCGACGTCGTCCGTATATATGAAGATTTGAACCGGTGATCTTCGGATTACAAGGCAGGCGTCTCATGCATTCGGCCAAAGGCCAACGGTTGTACCTGGACTGGTCATGGCGGTCAAACCTGGGTAGTTTCATGTGGATAAGACTAAAAAAAGCTAACAAAGCATCAGCTGCCTAGCAAAATGCGTTTCATTTTGAAGGTGTGAAGAGCAATGAGCAGACCATTCGGTTTCCCCTCAGACCCCACGAGGAAGCACTAAGTGAGAATTCCGAGTCAAATAAATTGAAATGAGGAAATGGGGAAACTCTGTGAATTGCAATTTTTGTCGGAAAGGTATCAGACAATTTGTCGTAGACACCGACCAAAAATGAGGTGCCTGACCACTGAGCGTGCAGGTAATGACATTTCGAGTGAGCACATTAACAGAAAATGGGACTATCAAGTGAGTCCAATGCATCCATGAAGTCGAAATCAGCTTGCGGTATGAGGGAAGATGCAATTCCCCTGGCTACAGGATGAAAAAGCCACGCAACCGGAGTGAAAGGTTCGCAACTCACTTTTGGAATCCGCCGAGTCATCCATTATTGTCGCAGTGCTGTCAGATGCTTCTTTGATACCACCGTTTGGTTTTTTAGGAGCGGCACTGAGCATAGTTCGTCCAGCTGATATGAACAGAGACAAACGAGTAGGATGAATGAAATTGGTGCTGCGAGTCCAAACAAATAGCTCCAACAAGCGGGGCACCAAAATAAATAGAAAACATGGTAATCTATTCAGAACAGAACACTCACCAGCTGAGGAAGTGTGTGTAGCCGATCCGGCAGTGTCACAAGGGTTGGCGCGCAGACAGCATAAGCAACTCTGATGTCTGTCTATACACCAACCGACTGTAGCACCTAAACTGCCAAAAGCACCTACAATCACTAAGTAAACATAAATGAAGTTGCTGACGACTCGCTGGCGTGCCATTGGTGCGTCTCATTTGCAACAATCGGGTATTTGTAATCTATAGCAAGGAGATTGTCGCGGCGATGCCACCTTATTAGCACACAATAGCCACAAGTTTGTAGCAGTGCGTTGTCTAGCAAGTGAAGATGTCTTGCGCTATCCTGTTTGCAGTATAAAAAAACAAGGCGAATGCGAAAACTTATCATGTGACTAGTACTGCGTAATTTATTCCATCCTAATCGCTGCGCTAAGGAACCGAGTTTATTAGCACATCTAGACTCGCCTGCAACCATTACCGCTGTGCACACGTTAGCGACATTTGATACCAACAATGCTAGGTAAACAACTTGATAGCGGGTCAAGTCCTCAGACTGAAGGCGCCAGGTTTCATTTCAAACAGAAGAATGGCCCTCACTGTGGCATTGTATACGCGACCTTTCAGACCGTTCGTTCTGATGGCAAAAATGTTGCAGCTTCCAACACAGTTACATTGATCACACATTGTCAGTTCCTTGTCGTCAATTGGCTAGTGCGTCGGCAACAACACTACAGCAGTTTGTCGGCATACCACACACACGCTTCGCTGCCACGCGAACACCACCGGTCGTGCGTGGGCTGGATGTATCGCAAGGTCTCTCGCAACTAGGCGGATTCGAACCGAACGCCTCCAGAGTACAAAGCAGGCGCATAATCCCTTTGTCCACCGACCAATGAAGCGCATGCCAAAAGATGGGGACGCGTCAGAGAATCGTAAGGAAGTTGACAATATTGCCTAGTGATTTGCAAGTAAAAATCGAGAGAGTACTGGGTATGGTTGGTTCAAATAATGCCTTCGGAAAATTGGCGGGTTGGCAGAAGCAGTAGCTCGAGAGTTCAACTCTGTGTCCATTTTGTACGTTCACAATATGCACGAAAATGGGGGATGAAGCGAGCCACATCATAGAGCGTAATCAGCCATCCTGATTGGCCGCCTGACTTATGGACTTAGGAAGCACATGCCTGTCCTGTAATAAACAGGTCGCGGGCTCGAGGCTGCATAGGGGACTGCACGACATTCGCAGTATCCTTAACACACGCAATTGGTGGTGGTTGCGTGGTGGCGGATCGTCGGTACTGCATATCGACGTACCGCTGATGCCTATGGCTCAGTGGCTTGAGTTAGTGTCTACTAAGAAGATGGTCATGGGTTTAGATCCAGAAGGATGGAGAGGAAATGTTGCGGTACCGAAGAACCTCATGCGACGAAACAGCCGGAAGTGTGGGGGCTCTCTGGTTTAAGGTGGCTACCATGAAGCCTTCTGAACTTCTATCATCGATGTAAAGCAGAAGTAAATTCCTCGGTCTTTGGATATTATACATATGGGAAGTTTTACCGAGATAATTTGTTGCAAGCGTGACACCCCAGCAAGATCCCCGAAGATCCATCGAGCATCCCCGTTTAACGCTTCCGCATCATTGAGAAAATCGAAACTTGCGTATCTCTTCGGCTGACAGTGTCTAAAGCATTATTACTCACTATGAATAGCCGAACTTAAAGACAAATGAGTAACAGTTGAGCAAAGGTTATTAAAGACATTACATACACCACTTGCAAATTGTAAGGAAATCTAATAAAATGTGATTACATAGAAAATCCGAACAGAGTTTAGTAGTTTGAATAATGCCGTAAGAAGACGAACACTGGCAGATGTCAACATTTCGTATTGTCTCTTCAGTGCCAACACAATAACATGAAAATATATAAGACGACAGGTAGGGTGAGACCGGAACAAGTTAGAACAGGGTAGAGGGGCAGGCGTGACACCACTACGCCCAGGGCAGGCGTAGGCTTACGAACAACTGTTTCTGCACACAGAGTGCGGGTTTGATACGGCTGATCGCGACTGCCTCTGCAAAACGTAGGAAATGGGCGTTAGCATGTCTTAACACGATTGTAAACATTTCGGCCGGATCAAGCTGGTGACAGGTGGCCAGTAAATGCCTACCTATGGATGAAGCAGGTGGTTTACGTGAACAGTTGGTATGAGCAAACGACGACTGGGTGATTTGACGCTGAAACCATTTAGGTACATGTTCCCTTATTCTGGAGTTCAACGATCTATTGGTACGGCCGATGTAGTGTATACCACAACCACAAGTAAATTGGTAAATACAATATGAGTTGGCGCCATTAGGTTGTCTTTCCGTCATTGGGGTAGCAGGTATTCGATTAGTCCGGTTGATAAGGACAGTTTCGGCAGCAAAATAAGTCCTCTGGGCTGCGGAAGTTATGTGCTTCATTGTCCTCATATTGGCAAAATCGCCCTTAAATGGTAGCTCGATGTAGATTTTCGTTGTAGACACTGTCGAAACCGTCTGTCCCGGCACCCTCGCCTGACTGTTTGTCGATGAATCTACTTGGATAGACATTTTTCAACAGCGTATCATTGAGTGAGTTTATCTCATCATCTAAACTGATCCGGCCAAAATGTTTACAATCGTGTTAAGACTTGCTAACGCCCATTTCCTACGTTTTGCAGAGGCAGTCGCGATCAGCCGTATCAAACCCGCACTCTGTGTGCAGAAACAGTTGTTCGTAAGCCTACGGCTGCCCTGGGCGTAGGGGTGTCACGCCTGCCCCTCTACCCTGTTCTAACTTGTTCCGGTCTCACCCTACCTGTCGGCTTATATATTTTCATGTTACTGTATTGGCACTGAAGAGACAATACGAAATGTTGACATCTGTCAGTGTTCGTCTTCTTACGGCCTTATGCAAATTACTAAAGGGGTCTAATTGTTTCAAATTTCTCAAGAGTTTAGCAAGTTCGATTTAGCGGCCGTTTGGACTTGGTATGAATATCGACGAGATTGTGGGGTTCGATCTAGGAAAACAATTGGGAACTAGGGTCAACTTCATAAGTGTTCGATATTCTGTGCAAGTCGGTGGAAAGTTAAGCACAGCGGTAAAGGAACGCGGTGCCAACTAGGTTGCGAAAATATATCATGGGAGCAATGTTCAAGAGAAGCAAAGCAAGCATAAACATGTACAATGGTGGAGAAGATTCTTGTACTGTCCTTACAAGACAGGTCTGTACGCGACAAAGGTGGAAAAGATACAAGATGGTAAGTCGACTTACTGGAAAAATTTCGAGTAGCCAACATTGTCGTAAGGATGGCACCCTGAAAACGATAGAGCATAACAGATGAGAAGATTGGTATCCGAGTGTAACATAAGAGCGATGGTCGATACTCTGCATAATGAATGATGTGATTGAATCAGATATCTCTAGCCTACCCGTTTTTAATCTATCTATCTCACAGGAGTCTTGTGCTAGGAGTGGAATAGACGCGACGCTCGGTAGAAGTGACTTGAAATGATCAAATATACGAAACCAAAAGTAATTCGGGTGTTGGTAACAAAACCTCCGAGCTACTTCTCTGAAATCAGTGCGCAGCTTCACCGGGCCGAGTCACGCATCGTTGAGAACATACAATTATTAGTAAGATGGCTGGCGGCTTAAACTCAGGGACTCGTTCGTGTTGTTTACTGTACAGTAACCAGTGAAGAGTGAGTGGTGTTGCAGCACACCTAGACGCTTGGCCGTCTTCGTCGCTGCCGTCCCCGTAGCCCGGTGGTCTTCACCATTAACCAGAAACAGTCGGGCTGTGCGTTTTAGTCCCACATGCAGCCAGATGGAATGCGCACTGCTGACGATTCCTGAAAACTTGAAACGGCTGTATAGTGACTCGCCAGGCTTTTAATGCGGTTTGACTAATTCTAATTGTGATGAATCCGAGGTACACACTAAATTCATATCCTGCACTCTTGCAGCAAGATAACCCACGTGTCAGTCAACATGCCGGGCTTTGCTTGGAAGAACCCGGAGGCTGAGTTCCAACAGCCTCGTGAATAACCGCTATTCACCAGCACTCTTCACTAAAGGTAAAAACCGTTATCGGACACCGTTCCATTGGGCGACAATTGAATTCAGTTGCTCCAAGGGTTGCTGCTGTTAACTGGTAGAATAACCTACCGAAGCGCCGGTCAAACGACCGGGAACGTAATGGAGATGATACCAATCGATGTCCTGTTTGTCCAGTGTGACTTTGGCGACCGTGGGTTCAGGGGACGGAGAAGTAAACACAACGATCGGAGTTCTGCTGAAAGCGGAAGAACATGTGCTACGCGCATGTGCAAAAAGATATAATCAGAGTAAGGCCTAAGCCACAAAGCATTGCTTACACCGAGTGAGACCATTCGGTGTGGTGAATTTGTCAGTTGGAACTTAATGACGGAAATGCTGCATTCGAACGGGACGCACCCATATCCGAATACACTATGTGTTGATCTGATCGTGTTCTTTGTAAACTTGTCGAACACCAGCAGCATCAACCTATGCGCCTTGCCAATATTGTTTGAGATCGAGTGAAGCCCAAACTGAGACACCAGGTCGTAATAAGGAGATGTGAAAGAACGGAGCAAAATACTGCTGCTTTGAAAAATATAGACCTTGAAGTGTTAATCAGTTGTAGGAAAGTCGAGCTGACAAGTATTCCACAAATCGGAAGCACCATGTAGTACAGAGATCGCAAACTGGACGACTTATGAAGCGAGGTCTGAGTCAATTTTGAAAACGTCTCTGTTAAATGCGAACTCATCAGACTAAAACGAGTCCGGAACATTCGCGAAGCAATTAAAACGAAGGGAAAATCACCATCGTCATCAACAATACACGTTAACCGATGGAGAGAAACACAGAAGCTGATTTGTCGCAATACAAAAAAGAAAAAGTATACATTAGAGACTAAAAAATAAAAAAAATTTAGTGCTAAATATTACATTATGCATTGAATATGAGATCGTCGTTGGAAGGGAAGGTTAAAGGGGAGGGGAGAGACAAGGAATCATCCCCATCATTATCATCATCATCACCACCATCCACAACTAAAGCACATTCGCTGAGGGAGAAACACATTTTAACTATTGTGCAGCAATACGAAAAGATATAGAGAAAAAAGCGTTATAGAGTACAAAGAAGATGACGTACTGCTTAGGAACATATTAGGTGTAAAGATTGTGATCGTGGTTGGAGAGAGATGAGTGGAATAGGGAGGGACAAAGAAACACAACACAAACGCCACTGAGTGCGGCACCTTGTCAATTCAACTGGTGTATCCAACCGGACGTGTTCATCGTCTTTCGGCCAACAGCCCGACAGTCGGGAGACAAACCGACGACAACTTCGAAGTGAGGAACTTCACTGCTCTTGACCAAGTCATCGCTTGGTCTCCTCTCCTCTTCTTCCATTCACAGCCCCGGCGCGAAAACAATGCACGTCGCGGGAGTCGTTGTGCTAACAGATGCAACGCGTTGTCCAACCATCGGAGCCGGAGGCGTGATATAATGGTGCTGAGCGGTTCACTCGCTTACGTTGCACCAAATATGCGGCGCCAAACACGCTCATTGCTCACGCGGTGCTCCCATCAGACTTGAGCTAAGCTGCGAAGGTAGTGATGACCGAACGCAACTAGCCTGTTTATATCTGTCAACTTGATGGGTCAGATTTCGCAACCGTACAAGAGGGTTGAACGGACGGCTGCATTGTAAGGTCTACACTTCAGGGCGAGGTAGATGTCGCGCTAGCACCACAGGTGGCTGGGACTGGTAAAAGCGCCTCAAGCTTTTGCTATGCGGTTTGTGACATCATCGTCCATTCCAATGGCGCTGGTATAGCTGCATAGATACTTGAATTCCTGAACGACTTCTAGCTGACCATCAACAAGAGTCAGCGCAGGTGTGGGTCCCTAACAATCTTGGAGGACTTCGCAAGGCATAGACCGAAACGGCTGACAGTCAGTGCTAATCTGTCCTGTGCTAGTTGGCACGCCTGAAAACCACTGACAACGGCAATGGCAAAGTGCCACTTGGTACAGATAAACGCAAGGTAGTCGGCGCACTCCAAGTCAAGAAGTCGATCACCTGGGAGCAACTCTAGGCTTTGCAGATCGTGTTCGGTGAAGGCAGTCTCCATGACTTCGTCAAGAAGAAAGTGCCAGGTGGCACAGATAAGGGCAATACCGTGGGCGTAGTCCAAGACAAGAAATCGACCAACGTCTTGCACGCAGTGCACAGTGAACGCAGTCACCATGGCTTCGTCGATGGAGAAGTTAAAAAGGAGCATCTTTGTATCACACCGTTGGAGATATTGAAGGGCGGCGACATTTTGTCGTAAGTCCTTAGTTTGCCTAAACTACGGGCGTACAGCGCTCTGATAACGTATAGGTATTTTTCAGGGACACCATTCCCGAGCAGACAGTCCCAAAGAACACATCGATCAACCGAATGGAAGGTGCTTTTGATATCGACTACGGTGGGTGGTCGAAAAATATGGCGGTGCTCCAACAATCTGAAGATGTGATCAATACAGCTGCGGGTTCGACGAAACCCAGCTTGCTGTTCACGAATCTGGCATTCACGGGTGCCAGCAAGTCTACGAAGAACTACAGAGGCGGGTATGTTAGATTCAATTGAGATCAGACTGATCCTTTTTATGCTAGTCGCATTCCGAAGGTAAGCTCCTCTTGAAAAATGGGGCTATAACGGAGCGGCTTGTCTGTTGGGACAGTCTTCTGTCCCTACAGATTCATTAGCAAGTTGTGCAAGTCCTCCGAATTGGTAGAGAGCTGGAGGAAGTCTATCTGCTCCTGTGGCCTTATTCACTTTCAACAGTCTGGTCTCAAGTGTGACATTTGCGCGTGAAGGTGTGTCCAACAGAACGGCCCAGGGAGAAGGGCGATCATGCGGCGATGAAGAAGCTGGCAACTGACTGTTTTTCCAAGTGTTCGGATTAACGCTCCAAGCGTTGTCACAAACTGTGGATTGGCCGTCCATCCTCTTCTCGTATGGTTTAGCTAATGCGACCTCCTACATCCCGTTTGGCACATAAGACGGAATAACTTATGATGGTTACCAAGGGCAGCGGAAATTTCCATCTCCGATGGGCGATGAACCCATCAATGCCATAACTGATAATTAGCAAATCATCATCATCATCAACAGCAGTACATCAGACATTTGAATTGATGCTTCGCTGCCATACAACCATGAGGACCTATGAAATGAAGAATAAGGAGAGAAGGGGGACTTACTTGAAGACCTTAACGCCCTAAGCAAACATTCAGGGTCAAGGCGCCTACACCTTGTGTAGACAACATACCGTCACAAACAGCTGGCTATCGTGCAAAGATAAGGCGGCATCGGCGAGACAGCTTCCTTGCGGCTTTCACTGCCACGCGTCATAATCAGCCATTACCCCGCAGATAACTCAGCACCAAACATACTTTAAACAGGCAATTCGATTAGGAGACGGCAGCAGACGCACCACTGGTGTCGGTTACGAGCCATGTCCTGTAAAGTCTCGAGCCAAGCACAAGGCGGGTCACGTGGACTCCAGCCTGGAAGGCGAGACGCACCAATGGCACCAAGTTTGGTCGTCAGCGACTTCATTTCCCGTTGCCAAGTTAACTTCCGTCCACATCGAGCCTTGCGCCACCCTACACCTGGCAGACTAAACAAGGCCCTCCTAAGTAAGCGGTGACCAGGCATACGTAGCACGTGCACGAGCCAACGCAACTTATTCAGTGCTAGCTGTTGTTCTGGGGTGCTAGTATGATTATCACCATCTAGTACTCGCCTACGAACATCATCGTTGCGGACACGCTGGTGCCATCCGACTCCAGCAATGCTTCGCAGACAACGATGATCAAAAACTTGAAGGCGCCTCAGATCTTTGGACTAAAGGGGCCAAGTCACACTACCCTAGAGCAGAACGGCCCTCACTGTGGCCTTGTATACACGGCCTTTCAGACGGACGGAAATTTCCTTCTGGCGCCAAAGATACCGCAAGTTCAAGAAGGTAGCTCTGGCTTTTGCAATACGTGAGCTCACGTCAGTTTCTATGCGCCCATCATTGCTGATGCAGCTGCCAAGATAAGTGAAATGATCAATCACCTCGAGTTCCTCGTTAGCAAGCGTCAAGGGGTCATCAAGTGGCTGGTGGTCCTGCAGCAACACTTTGCACTTTGAAGGTGCGAAGTGCATGCCAAATAATGGAACCACTCTGGATAGGCTATTCAGGGTTAATTGTGCCGCCACAACATCGTCGAAAAGCAAGACGATA